CTGAGGTCTTTCGTGTTGCCTACTCCCTGGTTCCTCTTTAACTGGAGATGCCGGGGATTGAACCGGGGACCTTCTGCATGCCAAGCAGAGGCTCTTCCACTGAGCAACTGCCCCTCCCCAGAACACTTGAAGCTCCCTTATGCCAAATCAGGCCCCTGGTCCATCAGAGTCCATATTGTCCACTCAGACTGGCAGCCGCTCTCCAGGGTCTCAGGCTAAGAAAGGTCTTTCACATCACCTCCTGCCTGGTGCTTTTAACTGGAGATGCTGGAGACTGAACCTGGGACCTTCTGCATGCCAAGCAGAGGCTGTAGCACTCAGCCACGGCCCTTCTCCGGAACATAGGAAGCTGCCTTATACTGAATCAGACCACTGAGCGAGTATTGTTTGCTCAGACTGGCAGCTGCTCTCCAGGGTCTCAGGAAGACACAGGTCTTTTACATCACCTCCTGCCTGGTCTTCTTAACTGGAGATGCCTGGGATTGAACCTGGGAGCTTGTGCATGCCAAGCAGAGGCTCTGCCACTGAGCCACAGTTCCTCTCCTAAATACTGGCTAGGTGGGGCGTTTGAGATTAGGAAAATGGCATGGTGGGGAAGGTTAACCCCTCCCTATGACCTACAAGGGGAGCTGCGGTGGCTCAAGTGGTTAAGACACTGAACTGCAGGCTGTGAAAGATCAGTAGTTCAGCAGTTCAAGACCCGGGTGCCGCATGACCGAGTGAGCTCCCGTCTCTAGTTCCAGCTCCTGCCAATCTAGCAGTTCGAAAGCAAGAAATTGCAAGTAGATAAATAGGTACCACTTTGGTGGGAAGGTAACAGCATTCTGTGCGCCTTGGTGTTTAGTCATGCCGGCCACATGACCACGGAAACGTCTTCGGACAGCGCTGGCTCTTTGGCTTTGAAACGGAGTTGAGCACCGCAACCCTAGAGTCGGATTCGACTGGCTTTCGAGCAAGGGAACCTTTACCTTTACCTTTATGACCTACAAGGGGTCCTCATCCAAATTAAGGTCTCCCATAAGTGATACATACAAAGGGAAAACATGCTGGAGACCTGATTGGGGATTTTCCAAGCATCTGATCTTGTTTGATCGTTTACAGTGCAATCCTAAAAGGACTTTTCTGGCAGTAAACGCCACTGAATAGACCTGAGTAGCATTCTGAGTAGACCTGCTTAGAACTGCAGTCTTAGTCACTGTGGAGGAAGACGTCACAGGAACCCAAGGCACGGGTGCAGATTCCATAATGGCAAATGCCCCAATCACTCCCCCCTTCTCCTCAAAGTGAATTACAGCCATGTGGGGAGGGGAAAATGGACAGATGAGAAGATCACTTACTTGTAGCCCACAAAGCGAGGGGCATATCTCTGGATCTGGGTCTTGAATTCGGAAGGACTCACGGATTCGTTAGGAGAGGTCGTCCACAACATTTGGATGAGCTTGGCAAATTCTGCAGCGTGATGGGGAAGAAGGAAAGAATGGATTCTGGCAGGGTAGCTTTGTTAGGAGAGGCCAATCACGGGGACTCAAGGTGGATCCACCCACTGAGTTCATATAATCAACAGGTCAGGACATTCAATAAACAGTGCAATAGAATTAGGGTTGTAGAATCAATCAGAAATTTAAAAACAGAACTGAAGCGAGGCATAAGTATGAACACGACACATTAAATGATGCATAAATTGCATAGTAGGAATAAAGAAGAAGAAGAAGAAGAAGAAGAAGAAGAAGAAGAAGAAGAAGAAGAAGAAGAAGAAGAAGAGATTGGATTTATACCCCGCCCTTCACTACCCAAAGGAGCCTCAGAGCGGCTTACAAACTCCTTTCCCTTCCCCTCCCCACAACAGACACCCTTCTGACAGAAACTGCTCTTTTTCAAGGACAGCTCTGACAGAACTATGGCTTTGCCCAAGGTCATCCAGCAGGTGCAAGTGGAGGAGTGGGGAATCAAACCCAGTTCTCCCAGATTAGAGTCCGCGCACTTAACCACTACACCAAACTGGCTCAACAAACTAAGTTTGAGTCCAGTAACACCTTTAAAACCAACAGTTTAATTCTGGGTATAAGCTTTCATGTGAGTGCATCTGAAAGCTTCTACCCAGCATTAAACTTTGTTGGTCTTAAAGGTGCCGCTGGATTCAAACTTTGTTCTGTTGCTTCAGATCAACATGGCGACCCCCTGAATTTATATATAGAAATATATTTGACAAAAATGTGCATAACAGACCCAGAGTCTGTTCCAAACGACTTCTGTGGCCCATCAAGCCAAATGCAGGCAAAAGCTATGCATGGCAGTCCACAGAGCACTCAATACAAATCCTGCTCTGCTTTTTGCCAGGGATGAAAACCAGTGGAAGGGGGCCCAAAACTGCATTTGCCTAGTTGGTGGGGGGAGGCGGCATGTCAAATTGGAAAAGAATGGATTGACAATTCTCCTTTCCCCATCCAATATTCCTTCATCTCTTGTGACCTCATGTATTTATCTAGGGTGACCAGAGGCCTTCTTTTTAGAGAATATGTCCTCTTTTTTTGGTGTCTGTCTTCTTTTGGGCTCTTAAAAAAAAACTGATGAAAATGTCCTTTTTGGGGTTGGAAAGTTAGGAACATTCCGCGTTAGCAGCAAATATCACAGCTTAGATAGCAGGGGGTATTTAAAACGAGATTTGTCACAGTAATCATTTGTTTGAAGTCGTCAGTCGGGAAATATGTCCTCTTTTTTTGGCTTTTCAAAATACGGTAACCCTAATATATCTCTTTGGAAAAACCACACAAACCTCCTATACTTTCCATTCATCGCATGCGAAATCTGCCTTGCAAGCGGGATGGAAGTTTTCACTGGTCAGCTTGGAATCCAGGGCCAAACAACATGTGTCACTGAGAGACTTGTATACCATCCCGAGTGTGTGTGCACTGTGTCAAGCTGGGGGGGGGGGGCTATTGTCAGCCAGGCTTCTAGCTGCCATGGAGTGAAGGGGGGGGGCCTCTGGAATGTTAGGTTTCTTTTCTCTGTGCCTTCAGTGCTTTTTTATCTCTGTAACATGAGCGTTTGGCCTTGGTGTCTAGCACCAGCTTTCTCTTGGGAAAATAGACCCGTTAACTTTGGTGGGTTTTTACCTACTCCTTGATTGGCTCCAGGCCATCAGGTGACCCTCTTGAATTATGTATATCTGCTTGCTCCCCACGCTTATTGCCAGTTCTAACACAAGATGTGTAAAGATAATCTGCAAACTTCAATGTCTCAATAAACTTTACTTCTTGGTATGAAAGTTGTTGGGAACTGATTGCTGCAGGAGTCTGACAGCTATATTGGGAGGGGGAGCCATTTAACCCTTCCTTCTCCCATGGGTTTTTTCAGCTGAAACCAACACTTCCTGCTATTATTAAGAAAGAAAGAAAGAAAGAAAGAAAGAAAGAAAGAAAGAAAGAATCTTCTTTTCCCTGTCAGGGCTAACATGGTGCTACTAGTTTCAATTAACAAAATTACATGAGGGCGGAGGTAGGGTTCCCAACTTCTAGGTGGCACCTGGAGACCTCCTGCTATTACAGTTGGTCTCCTAGTGACAAAGATCTGTTCCCCTGGTGAAAATGGCTGCTTTGGAGGGTGGACTCTATGGCACTATATCCAGGGGTCATTTCGTAGAAAAAGAGGTGCAGGAGCTCATTAGCATAACTTATTTGCATATGCCACACCCCCTGACATCACTGGAAGTGTGTCAGAAGGCAACACCCACCGCTCAGGTTCCACTGGACTGTTTTGGATTGCTACCTATTGGGAGGGAGGGAACATGCAGATCTGTCCTCACAGAGGAGGGAGAGCTTGTACCTGAATAAACCTTGGCCTTAAAGGTGCCACTGGGCTGTTTTGGACTGGGGGGCTGGGGGGGGGGAGCTCTGCAGCTTACCTGGCTGCTTCTTGCTCTGACTGAGGGCTGCTGGGAGCAGGGGGCGGGGCTTGTTGCATGTGCCCGCCCCCTGGGTTCTACACTGCCAGAACTCCGCTCCTGTGTGCTCCTGCAGGAAATGACCCCTGACTATATCCCACTGAGGCCCCTCCCTTCCTAGTCAAACCCCACCTCCCCAGGCTCCATCCGCAAAATCTCCATGTATTTCCCAACTCAGAGCTGGCAACCCCAGGCTGAACATTACCCCCCAGCTGATCTCTAGTAGGGGTGCCCGGTCTGGGTTGGAAAATACCTGGAGACTTTGGGGGGGTGGGTCCAGGAGAGGGCGGGGTTTGGAGAGGGGAGGGACCTCAGTGCAGGGTCCAGTGCCACAGAGCCCACCCTTCAGAGCAGCCATTTTCTCCGGGGAGCTGATCTCTGTCAGCTGGAGGTCAGCTGTGAAAGCCGGAGATCTCCAGGCCCCACTTGGGGGCTGGCAACCCTAATCTGTAGAGATCAACTGTAATTCTGGAGATCACCTGTAATCCCAGGGAGTCTCCAGGACCCCCCTGGAGGTTGGCAAGCCTACGTGGGCAGACCCTTACCTGCCATGAGGGCCATCTGCATGCGACTGTTGTTGTTAAGGTCTCGGAGGTACTGGTTTTGCAGGCAGTAATCCCGAAGCTCTTTGGTGTTGCTCAGACACTGAAGGATTGAGTTCATAAAACACTGCGGGAGGCAAAGAATGAGCGTCAAACAGAGGCCAAGGCCCAGGCCAGAGAGGGGACAAGAAGAAGAAGAGAAGAGATTGGATTTATACCCCGCCCTTCACTACCCGAAGGAATCTCCTTTCCCTTCCCCTCCCCACAACAGACACCCTGTGAGGTAGGTGGGGCTGAGAGAGCTCTTTCGAGAACTGGCCGTGAGAGAACAGCTCTGAGGGAACTTGTGACTGACCCAAAGTCATGCCGGCAGCTGCATGTGGAGAAGCAGGGAATCGAACCCGGTTCTCCCAGATTAGAGTCTGTGCTCCCCTACCCACTACACCAGACACCAATCTGTGCATGGGCCAAAGTTGGCCCCCCCAAGAGATGAACCTGTCCCTCCCCCCTTCAAGATGTTCCCCAAAGTTCCAGCTTCTACTCAGTTTGGGATGTATCAGAGAACATGAGTGGGGAGGGGGGGGCAGAGAACTTTCCCTCTAATTCAAAGATATTAATGATATTTTTCAAAGGCCCTATGCCTAATACCACTGACCCAATCTGGCTCAGGAATGTCTTTCTCAGTGGGGTCTGCAGGGGCGGCGGTGGAGAAAGATCTCCCCTAACTTGAGGTACCTGAGATCTCTATAACTGGAGGTACTACTGGGAACTGAGCCGATCTCATCAGATCTCAGAAGCTAAGCAGGGTCAGTTCCGGTTAGCACTTGCGTGGGAGACCAGCAAGGAAATCGGGGGTTGCTGCACAGAGACCGGCAATGGCAAACCACCTCCCCTCATCTCTTGCCATGAACGCCCATCTACAGGGACACCAGCAGACTCATTGACACAAGGACTTCTTACAACGGTGGTGCCACTGAGTGATTCCAAGATCAGATGGGACCTCGAGCGAAATACCATCATTTCATCTCATGAGGCTGTGGCTCAGAGGGTCCCGGGTTCAGTCCTTGGCATCGCCAGTTACAGGATGTCTACTTGGGACCAGGGGTCATTTCGTAGAAAAAGAGGTGCAGGAGCTCATTAGCACAACTCATTAGCATAACTTATCTGCATATGCCACACCCCCTGACATCACCGGAAGTGTGTCAGAAGACAACACCCACCACTCAGGCTCCACTGGACTGTTTTGGATTGCTAGCTATTGGGGGGGGGGAATGTGCAGATCTGCCCTCACAGAGGAGGGAGAGCTTGTACCTGAATAAAACTTGGTCTTAAAGGTGCCACTGGACTGTTTTGAACCAGGGTGGGTGGGGTGGGAGCTCTGCAGCTTACCTGGCTGCTTCTTGCTCTGACTGAGGGCTGCTGGGAGCAGGGGGCGGGGCTTGTTGCATGTGCCCGCCCCCTGGGCTCTTTACTGCCGGAGCTCCGCTCCCATGCGCTCCTGCAGGAAATGACCCCTGCTTGGGACCCTGAAGAGCTCCTGCCAGTCAGAGCAGCCACTCCTAACCTTGGTAGACCAAGGGCCTGACTCAGTAGCATTCTACATACAATATTGGCATTGGAAAACCCTGACCTGAATAGCCCAGGCTAGCCTGATCTCACCACATCTTGGAAACTAAGCAGGGTCAACGCAGGCTAGTATCTGGATGGGCAACTTCCAAGGAATACCAGGGGCGTGACGCAGAAGCAGGCAGTGGCAAACCACCTCGGAAATGTCTCTTGCTTTAAAAACAAGTCTAGCTCGCCAACTAGGGGTGCATAATGCTAAAAGAGATAGAACTCCTGGCTGCCAGACAATCTTAGGATCTCCTGGCTATACGACACACACTGTCATACAATGATAATTATTATTGGCAGTGGAAAGTACCATCAAAAGAACAAAAGAGAACATAAGAGACGCCAATGTTGGATCAGGCCAATGGCCATCTAGTCCAACACTCTGTCACACAGTGGCCAAAAATACCAGGTACCATCAGGAGGTCCAGCAGTGGCGTCAAGTTGCAGCCAACTTATAGCAACCCCTCCTGGGGCTTTCAAGGCAAGAAACATTCAGAAGTGGTTTACCATTGCCTGCCTCGGCATAGCAACACTGGATTTCCTTGGTGGTCTCCCAACCAATTAGTAGCCAAGGCCAACCCAGCTTAGTTTCCGAGTTCTGATGAGAGCAAGCCAGCCTGGGTTATCCAGATTAGGGCCTATATAATGTAATAGTACATTAAGAGCTGTGGTGGCTCAAGTGGTTAAGACGCTGAACTGCAGGCTGTGGAAGGTCGGTAGTTCAGCAGTTCGAGACCCGGGTGCCGCATGACGGAGCGAGCTCCCGTCTCTAGTTCCAGCTCCTGCCAACCTAGCAGTTCGAAAGCAAGAAATTGCAAGTAGATAAATAGGTACCACTTCTGTGGGGAGGTAACAGCATTCCATGCGCCTTGGCGTTTAGTCATGCCGGCCACATGACCACGGAAATGTCTTCGGCTTTGAAACAGAGATGAGCACCGCAACCCTAGAGTCGGATTCGAGTGGCTTTCGAGCAAGGGAACGTTTACCTTTACTAATAGTACATTTCCTAAGACCAATGAGCACAGAGAAGGAATGGGCATGAACCTTCTAGTCTCACCACCTGCCTACGCAGAATCCCCTGATTATGAGCAGAGGTCTATGTATGTAACAAATATACAAGCACGGGCGCCCTCACGTTTGAAGAAGAAATATACTTGATCACGGGAGGGAGGTTATACGTATACACATTCTACATGCACAGACTCTGTGCTTACAAGTCAACGATCGCATACATTTATTTACTTCATTTATACCTCACCTTTCTTCATATAAGGACTCCAAAGCGGCTTACATTGTTCCCCTTCTCAACCTCACAGCAAACCTGTGAGGTAGGTCAGGCTGAAAGTGTGTGACTGGCCCCAGATCACCCCTCAAGCTTCCATGGAAGAGGGGCGATCTGAACCTGAATCTCCCCAGACCCTAGATCTAACTGCTACACCATGCTGCCGCTCATCGGTTTATGCCTTTTCTCCATCTCTGTATGTCAATAACGATGCAGTCATGTTGTGCGTAGAGGGGCTTGAAAATGGGAGCTTCATGTGTCCAATGTCAGGTCCCCTCAGTCTGTTGCTACCCTCCAAATTTAGAGGCAAGTAACCCTTTGAATCCTAGTGCCATATCAAGGAAGGCCTCGGCCTCTATGCCCTCTTGTTGGCTGTCCAGAGGAATTGGTTGGCCACTGTGAAGAGACAGGATGATGGACTAGATGGACCCAGTCTAATTCGGCAGGGCTCTTCTGATGTTCTTATCGGGAGAAGGCCTCGGCCTCTGTGCCCTATTGCTGGCCCTCCAGAGGACCTGGTTGGGCACTGTGTGAGACAGGATGCTGGGACTAGATGGACCAGTGGTCTGATCCAGCAGGGCTCTTCTGATGTTCTTATGAAGGTCTTGGCCTCTAAGCCCTGTTGTTGACCCCCCAGAAGTATTGGTTGACCACAGTGTGAGACAGGATGCTGAACTAGATGGACCCAGTCTAATTCGGCAGGGCTCTTCTGATGTTCTTATCAGGAGAAGGCCACGGCCTCTATGCCCTGTTTGTTGGGCCTCCAGAGGAACTGGTCGGTCACCATGTGAGACAGGATGCTGGACTAGATGGACCACTGCTCTGATCCAGCAGGGCTCCTCTTCTGTTCTTATCAGGGGAAGGTCTCGGCCTCTGTGCGCTGTTGTTGGCTCTCCAGAGGACCTGGTTGGCCACTGTGTGAGACAGGATGCTGGACTAGGTGGACCCTCACTGGTCTGATCCAGCAGGGCTCCTCTTCTGTTCTTATCAGGGGAAGGCCTCGGCCTCTGTGCCCTGTTGTTTGCCTTCCAGAGGACCTGGTTGGCCACTGTGTGAGACAGGATGCTGGACTAGATGGACCACCGCTTTGATCCAGTGGGGATCTTATGTCCTTATGATCTAGGCAAGAGTGCTAGACGGGATGCTGGACTAGATGGACTACCGCTTTGATCCAGTGTCCTTATGATCTAGGCAAGAGTGCCTGAGATCCCATGAGGCAAAGCTGCGTGGCCAGAGGGGAAGGAATATGCCTGAACAGGGTTGGTGCAAATAATTTTGCCACCCCAAGCCAGGTACACCCACCCATCTCCTCCTAGGCCTGTGCCATCACTACTGGCCGAGCCCCATGGCACCTTCCCTGCCCCTGACGGACAGCTCACGTGGTGGACCGGTGCTCTCTAAGCGTGCCACGCCAAGCAATCGCTTGGGCGTCTGGGCCAGAGAACCAGTCCCGTGTGCAGGATGCCTGCAGGCTAACAAGTGGAGTTCCCGTTTCCTTCCACCCGTTCTCAGACGCGATGGGGTGTGTGTGTGAGGGGATGGGGAGAGGCTGCTGGCCAAGCCGGAAGAGGGAACAGCTGTCGCAGCGGCCCCTCTCCTTCCTCACCCCCTCTCCTCTCCG